AATGCTAAAATAAATAGAAGTGCAGTAGCGAGTAGAACAAGTAGTTTTTAAGGGCAGCTAGCAAAGAGTTGTTCTAGTTAAAATAGCGAACAAACAATACAAGGACTTCAGATGAGCCAGACTAGTGTTGTATAATGAGCATACAACGAGTAGTGCAGTAGCGAGAAGTACATTAAATAAGATATTGAATAACTGCCCAGTTGGCAATTAAATTACCTTAGAGTAATTCGTACTTTCTTGAAATAAATGAATGTTAACTGAAAACAAGCTCAAAGTATATGAAGGCAGTGTTGTAAAAAGTGCGAATAACGAGTAGTAAGGTAATTTGCAGAGAGCGGATAGTTTCAAATAGAGAGGAACTAAAACAAAAATCACAGGAAAAAGCTGCTATGACAAGGTAACAAGTTAGGGGCGCCAGTCTAGTGTTGTATAGTGCGTGAGTAAGCTAAACCTAACATAAAAATTAAAACTGAAAACAAAATACATTAAGGTTGTCTCTAATAAAACACGTTTAATGTTAGCTCGTGTCGGAGAGTCACTTTGAGCTTAACTTTTATCAATAGTTCGTCTACACATGTTAACTGCTAGCCTGAAGCAGGCTCTTCTCCCTGTGTTGGTTTAGGGCTGGTTGTTGTTTCTTTATGGGGCCAGCGTTAAGTGTCTTCCCGTGAACAAATTGTCTCGCCCCAAACAAAACAGACTGCTAACAGCCTTCATTTGTAGGGACTAAGCCAATAGAGCTCTGTGCAAGTCGGGTCATGTCCTGATGCCTGCTTAGGGGCCTATTCGAAGAACCTGGCCTGCGGATTGTTTTGGCCATTTAGCAGCATTTCACATTTTGGCAATTTAAATTTGATTTTCTAAGCATATGCAGCCGCCCCCTTTGTCAAACCCCCTCAACACACGACGCCAAACTGTGTGTTGACTGACTGCTTAAGCAGCTGCTACCCGCACGCAGCGCACATAAACGAGTGGCAGTCACTGACAGGAGTCGGCGTAGATGGAGAGGTCCTTTTAGCTGTTTTTCTTGTGTTTCATGAAGCTGCTGTCAGTTGGCTGCTTCTGTGTTTTTAAGCTGCCAAATAAAAGCGAGCGGCCGCTCAGTCGCAGCCTCAACAAGTCGCTTTATGGCATATGCATGATAATGATGAGAGACTGCAGGACCGTGGACCTGGCGCTCCATTTTTGTGGCGTTCTTTCATATGATTGCGCCCGAGTCGCTCCCGGGTGTTTATGTGATATTTACATAATAAAAACGAGAGTCAAGTTGGAGCTGTGTCTCGTCTCGAGAGTTGCTGCCAGCAGTTATCCTTTTTGGCGCAGCACAAACAGCACAAAGCCATCAGTTGTCTGGCCCGCCCCCGCCGTCGCCCCCGCCTCGTCCCACCACACCCCATAAAGTATGACCCACATCTATGATTATTTTCATGACGCCTTCGGGGCCGAAACATTTCCATCCCGAACAATGCGTAAAGTTGAAAAATATGAAAAAGGCAGCGGCAAAGCCAAAGCCAAAGCAAAAATGTTTGAGGGGCGTGGCCAACTGCTGTGTTTTTCTTGTTTATACGTGCTGTGGGCAGACCAAAAAAGAAAAACAAAATAAAAACCAAAATTGTATTCACTTTTTGTTTTATTTATTTGATAGACCATTTGGGGTTGCGCCTTTTGCCCATATCCTTTCCGGCATCCTTGAACTTCTCGCAGTTGTGCGCTAAATTAAGTTTCCTTTACCATTTTGCTCTGCTCCCGAACTGATAAATGTCCCCAAAGCATACAAAGTGCAAGTTGTTTTTCAAGTTTCGACCAAACTAAACTATGTGGCATATCTTTGGCCCCGTCGCCTTTGGGGCGCTGCCATCGCCTGGCCATTGAATGGGCTTCGACTTTGGGGACTCTGAGGCTGTGGCACAAAGGGTTGGCTCACTTGCTAAAAATCCGATAGCAGGGAAGGGGCAGCAGGGCCAAGCAATTTCTGTTTGCCACTGAGCTGTCGCATGTGGCATGTCTTAAATTCTGTCTCGTGTTGCTGTTATGTGGGGTCTACTGAAGCAATTTAAATAGGTAATTAACAGTGGAACTTCTTTATTTATGTCTTAAAACTAACAATAAATTTAAAAGAAAGGTGTATTAAAGTTGTATGACTTTAATGTAACACTAAGTCTCTATATTAACTTTATAAAATACCTGAAGCTGGATTAGCCATTTGAATATGGAAAATATTCAGTGTCTTGTGCAAGCTTTTTTTTATACCCTTGTTTTCAAATCATACGCAAGAATACAATTAGAAATTGTCTAAAAAAAATGGCATTTCTTTCGCTCTTGAAAGCCTCTTTTTTATGTCAAAATTGTGCATGATAAATCCAAGTGCATAACAGTACATGATAGTGTGTGTGCAGTTTAAGGAGATTGGGAGCCGATTAAGGAAGAAATGAGGCATCGACAGTTCGTAATCCAACTCAAGCAATGGCATTTTAATTAAGTGCTCCGAGGCCTGCCTTTCAGTAACCCATATGCAGCTGGGCTACAGTCATTTAAGCCTTTGTCGGCTAATATTGAATATAAATTGAGAGCCCAGGCGGTTTGCAGTTTGTTGATATAGCAAATGGAGTGCCTGTTAATATAGGCACTGTGTCCGATTCGAATCTACCAGCGCGCATACATCCTTCTTAAAATTGCGTTTTGGAACGACTCAAACCGATCGAGTGTTATTTAAAAAGGCAGTATCCCAGTATCAGATCCCACATCTCTCACTTTAACCATTAAGGAAAAATCTCTGGGAAGGAACACACAAGAGTGTACTGCACAGTGGGGGATAAGACTTATGTTCAGAAGGCCATCAACACAAACCCGACCAAATGCTTCCAGAATATTCTAATAAATCTAGGATATCACAGGCATCTGATATATCAGATCTCACTTCGCCTTCTCTCACATAAAAGAGAAATCTCCCAGAAAGGAATGGATCACTGTGCATTGCGCAGTAGGGAAAACCTAGCTGAACAATATTTGTGGCTCTCATAGGAATCTTGGATACCATTTTCTCACATCACACATCATCATTTCATAGGTCAAAGAAAACATTTAATTGTTGCCCAAAAAGGGGGCAGATTTTAAATAAAATAAATAATAATTATGTTAAAAAATCATGTCACACTCCATCAAAATCTTCCAGAATGTCCAAAACGGCTGCAGAATAATATATGTAACTCTCATATTCATATTGGATATCAGATCTCACATCTCCCATCACCATTCCATCATGTCATACTTCATCAAAATCTTCCACAATGTCGAAAATAAAAACTGCAGAACAATATATGTTACCCTCATAGGCATCGTGGATATCAAATTGCACATCACCTTTCCACATCACCATTCCATCATGTCATACCCCAGGATGTCCAGTATGTCCAAAAATATTGCAAAACAATGAACATATGTAACTCTCATAGGCATATTGGATATCAGATCTCACAACTCTCAACACCATTCCATCATGTCATACTCCATCAAAATCTTCCAGAATCTCAAAAAAAAAACTGCCGAACAATATATGGATTACATATATAACTCTCATAGGCATCTTGGATACCAGATTCTCACGTCACCCATCATTCTTCCATCATGTCATACTTCATTAAAATCTTCCAGAATGTCATTAAACAAAAAAACCGCAGAACAATATGTGTAACCCTCAAAGGCATCTTGGATATCAGATCTCACATCTCCCATCCCCATTCCATCATGTCATATTCAATCAAAATCTTCCACAATGTAAAAAAAAGCACTGCAGCACAATATAAGTATGTAACCCTCATCGGCATCTTGGATATCAGATTGCACATCTCCATTCCACATCACCATTCTATCATGTCATACCTCAGGATGTCCAGACAAATCTTTTAACAAGGATCGGATTATTGTGCGTTGCACAGAAGGGAGGAAAGACCTTAGTTTGTACAGAAGTCCATCATGCCTATCCCATCAAAAGCTTCCAGAAAATCCAAAAAATTACAGAACACTATACATAACTCTCATAAGCATATTGGATATCATATCTCACCTTTCCCAACTCAAATCCTTCAGTAAGGAACGGATCGTTGTTCATTGCGTAGAAGAAAGGAAAGACCTTATGCCATCATGTCATACCCCATTAAAAGATCCGGAATGTCCAGAAACACAGGAGAACACTATATGAAGCTCTAATAGGCATATAGGATATCAGATCTCATTGAGCAGTAGGGAGGAGAGACCCAAGCTTATTCAACTGAGTTACAAACCCGGGAGTTGTTCTGGCGCTCCATAACAGAATCGAAACCCAAGCTAATGGCATTAATTGTCAACATTCCACCAATGAATATTCCCTGGAATATTTTGAAAATTCTTGGAACTGGGCTAATAGTCCCATGTGGGAAGTGGTAAGAGCGAAGCACGCAGCTAACCTTTTAAAGAACAAAGCTTAGAAAACTGGCAGTTATTAACTGACTTTGCCTAGCTACCTAGCTAAATATCCGGTCGATGAAACCATCGACCATGGACCAACGTCCATTTGAGCCCTGCCCTGTCCCTGCCTGGTCAAGGGTTGCTCGAGTCTACTTCACGATTAAAGCTGCATCTGCCGGACCCCGTTAAACTCTACTATTACCAGCTTCCATTTGGCTTTGCCACTAATGCGAATGCTGTTGGTAATGTTGTTGCCGTGGCCATTTAAATTGTCTTCATTTGTTTACTGCCAGCCAAAGAATACAAAATAGAGTAACAGATATAGAGGTAGAGCTTGGAGGCATTGCCGGGGACATAGGCGTGGATACAGGGCAAAGGAGGCGGAAAATAATCCACAAAACTACCGATTAACTTGCCGGGTAGCCAACGGGAAGGCGAATGCAGCTGCCAAATCCAATGAAAATCCAAAAGCCAAGCAATTTTGAACTCTAATGGAAAATCAATTTAAAGCGCACATACTAAAACCCATTCCCCCTCTCAATTCCTTCCATTTACAGGCTAAACAGCAGACAGAGCTACACGAATGTCGGACGCCAAATACGAAAGACATTGGCAAACTTGGCTAAAACGTATTTAACCTAAAATAAAGCGAACAACAGCAAGTGCGAAAGAGACAGAGAGAGAGAGAGAGAGAGAGAGAGAGAAGAGAGGAGCAGCTGCACCGATAGCTCTCTACCGACAGACAGTCAACGTCTGGTCACAGCAAAGGCAACTAACCAAACAAACCACACCACAGACTAGGCACACGAAGGGAGTAAAGCTCCAAGCGGGCTTGCAGACCCGTAGACAGAGAAAGAAACAGAGAAAGGAACAGGGACAGGGACAGGGACATAATGAGCAGACGAGGGTCGTCGGCAATGGCAGCGGCAATTACCATGTCGCCGTCATCGTTGCTGTCGCTGTTGTTGCTGCTGCTGACGACATTGCTGGTGCTGCTCGTGCCGACAAATGGCCTGGCAAATTGTCCAAATGGCTGTGAATGCGATGACGAAACTCTGAAAGTCAACTGCGGTGTGGGCACGCTCGATGTGCTGCCCATCGCACTGAACCCGTCCATACAGCGGCTGGTCATTAAGAACAACAAGCTGAAGACCATCGACTCATCGATGCAGTTCTATTCACAGCTGCAGTTCCTTGATTTATCCTACAATGATATGGTAACGATACCAGAACGCTCGTTCGCCTACCATGCCAAGCTGCTGGAGCTGCATCTGAATCATAATAAGATTGGACAGGTGACGAACAAAACCTTTACGGGCCTAACCACAATTACTGTGCTCAATCTGAGGGGCAATCTGATTGCCGAATTGGAGTACCGCACCTTCTCGCCCATGGTTAAATTGGTTGAGCTGAATCTTGGCCAGAATCGCATCAGTCACATTGATCCGCATGCCTTGGATGGACTGATTAATTTGAGCATGTTGTATTTGGACGATAATACCCTGACTACGGTGCCATCGGAGCTGACATTCCAAGCGCTGCCCGGCCTAGCGGAGCTTTATTTGGGCACCAATTCATTTATGACTATTCCCGCGGGCGCTTTTCAGGATCTCAAGGCTCTGACGCGCCTGGACTTGCGTGGCGCGGGACTGCATAACATATCGGCCGATGCCCTGAAGGGTCTGGAGGGCATACGTTATCTGGATCTCTCCGACAATCGCTTGCAGGTTGTGCCCTCGGCTGCTTTGCAGCGTCTGGCCCGTCTGGAGGAGCTGTCGTTGGGCCAAAATGACTTCGAGGTGATCGCAACTGGCGCCTTTGTGGGTTTGCGTGAGCTGCGCCAGCTGGAGATTACTGGAGCTCAGCGCTTGCGTCGAGTCGAGAGCGGCGCCTTCACGGACAACACAAATCTGGAGCATTTGAATCTCTCGGCTAACAAGCAGCTCAATGAGTTGCATGCGAATACCGTGGGCGGTTTCCCACACCTCAGCACGGTCATCTTGAAGGAGAATCATCTGAGTTCCCTCTCAGAGGGTCTTTTCCCCTGGTCGGATTTGCAAACCCTGGATCTGTCGGATAACCCGTTCGTGTGCGACTGCCAGCTGATGTGGCTGCGTAATTTGCTCATCAGTAGGAATGGCAGCAATCAGTATGCTCCCGTAATCTGCTCCTATCCAGCCAATTTGAGGGAACTACCGCTGACGCAGCTGGCCGAACCTCTGCTGGGCTGCACCCACGGCACGGGCAACAAGCAGGCCATTATTGGCATCATGGTTGTCGCCTGTGCGGCGCTGATAACCACCTTGGCGCTGATAATCTATACGTGTCGTCGTCGCATACGCGAAATGCTCAAGGGTCACTCGGCGCTGGGGCGCAAGGAACGCGAGTATCAGAAAACCTTTTCGGATGAGGAGTACATGACGAGACCGCCGCCTGGTTGCGGCGGTGTACATCCCGCTTCGGGCTATCCCTGCCCCAGTGGCATCAATTCATCGCAGTATTTGGGTAGCCGGTCGATACCAGTCACAGAACTATAGCTAGAAGCTCCACCCCCACCTCAGCTGCGGGGTCGGGGTGGTGCCCCCTCCAGTCATAACGGTCCCATGGCATCCACAACCTCAGGAACGCCGCTGCAGCAGCTACAGGTGCCCAGTGCTGTTGATGCGTCGCATGCCCCCTTCGCCCAACTCAGCCACATCCACTTCATGACCAACAATCCGCAGTCATCGGCAACAACAACAGCAACAACAACACCGCGCTCTCATCACTCGCAACAGGACATGCGACTGCTGGCCAATGGCGGCGGCAAGGTTCTCGGCCTGAATGCCTCCCTGCCCCGACACATGGCAGGACGTCAGTGCGGCGTGCAGGAGAGCACCCTGTCCCATTATAGTCAACCACTTGCCAATGGCCATGCCGGCATACGCCTCACCCAGGATCACTTCAATCACAATGGCATCGGCGGCGCAGCCGGCGTCTATGCCAAGCCCTGTGATGCGATGGCCGATGCCGGATATATACACAACAATTCGCACTATTCGCTGCCGCTGGATCATGATATGCCGCCCAGTCCGACACCCACTCCGCCGCCGCCGGCGCTGCCGTTGCGCAATGGCATGGGCATGGCTCTGGTGCATGGCAATACGACTGGCAGGCGTTCCTTTAATAGCAACAACAACAATGTGGCAACTCTCTCAAACAACAATCACAATGGCGTCGGCGGCGGTGCAGTGTTGGTCAACGGCAATTACAACACCAACGGCAGCAACAATAACAATAATGGCAGCCTGCGTCGCTATCACTGATATACGCTGAAATCGTGCGGCACCTTGGGCCGCACCAAGCCGCAGCAGCGGGGCGGGGATATTGAGTTGTATCACTTCTACAAGGGCTGATGAGGAATTGGATCACATTGTGTTACTTTAACTATGCATTAATTAATATTTATGTATTGTATATTTAGTTACCTTTATTCAGGCGAAATCATTTTGTATAAATTAGAGTTTAGTTTAAAAACAAGAGAAAGGAAACAAAAGGCAGCGGCAAATGAGCGGAGCTGATTTGTAAATACAGTTTGACATGCATTGCATTCTAGATAGCGCTTAGTTTGGTCTTAAACTGTCGGCATTAGGCAACACAGTTTTAACACGGAGTCAACTGCTGACGAATACCAACACTGTGCATAGTTTGATCTTAAACTGTCTAAATTTAGCAACACAGTTTTACCAGCTGCTGACGATTACCAACACTGCGCACTATTTTCTTTTGCTGTTTTGTGCAGGGTCTTTTTTCGCATCCAGTGATTTACCTAATAAGTTTAACTTAGACGTTTAAATGCATGTAAATAATTAAATGATATGCACAAAAACTAAAAGAATATAAACAAAATAAAGACAAAATACTAAAATAACAACTAATCAATTTGTATACAATTAATTTACGCTTTTAAGCACAAGTCATTAAAAATATATATGTATTTAGCATAAAATATTGCAAGAAAGATAAAACACAAAACTAAAATTCAGAAATAAATATACATAAAGTAAAAATGAAACAATATCTAAGCCGAACACCCTTAACAAAATGTATGCAAATTAAAGGCAAAGTTCATAGATATCAGAAAAAAAAAGAAACATTTTTGTAGTTAATAAATTCAATATAAATAGAACACAGAAGGTAAACTTAAATTACTTATTGAAATAATAAATATTAAAAAAGAAGAGGAAAAAATAAACAAAAAGTTTATGAAATGCAGCGAAATAGCTACAATTATGCAAAACTACACAATATTTATAAAGAAGGTACTACAAATTGACACAATATGAATACAAAAGCAATTTATGCCACATAAATAAATACAAAATATGTGTAAATAAAAAATGTATGCTCGAACAAATTTAATTTTCTGTTGTTTTTATATGGCCATTTGGCTGATTGCTTTCTCGTTTATGTATACGTATTTTATTTTATTTTTTTTATATTTATTTGTTCATTTTTTGTATCTGTTTTTTTTTCGTGTGTCGAGTTGGTGGCGTTTTTTAGCGCTTTTGAATAATTGTACATATTTAACAATTTAATGGAACAAAATGCAAAACACATACAAGGGAGTTAAACGTAACCTAAAACTAATAAGTAAAAAAAAAAAATATAAAATTAACAAATTATAATTGAAAAAGCTATTCAAACGTAAATTCGTATTCATATTTCATAACACAACAAATCTATCATCTAGTTATATATAAACATTTATATACATTGAAATTAAATAAATCAAATTTCATAGACCTTAAGCAAATTACAAGGGACACGTATAGCTAAAAGAGAGCGTTCAAAAAACAAAAACGATTAACAAGGATTAAGAAAAATATAAGGAATGCAACCAAAAATATGATCATATTCTAATATTGTACGAGTATTCATAACTGCCGTTAAGCAGGACGAAAAAAAAAAAAAAAAGATCCATGCAATGAACTCTCAAATGCTAAAGATTAAGAGATTATATGGATGGCAATTCGGATAAGCAATTGCAAACTGTTCAAGAACTAGAAGATTAAATCAAATAAACGACAAACTTAACTGAAAGCAAACGCATATTTCCTTTTTGTATGCGAACTTTATTGGATCTCATTCTAGAAATGATTCAACGATATCGAAGAATTTTTGAAATCGGGACTCATTTATTTTTCAAGCTGATTAACCATTGTAGGACTCGGAGAAGGTCGTCTCTCAGCCTGCGGCCATTTGTCCAGGTATGTATATTGTCTCTCCCAAATACGGAACGGTTGTACTCCTCGTATCCTTGCCCACGGCATGGTTGCCGTCCACCATCAAAGCAGTGACTGTAAAAATGGAGATGCTTAAATGTGGTGCGCTTTCTTTAGCTTAAATTATGTCAACTGTTGCCACCTTCCACCGCATTTTAATTGATGACTTCACCAGCTGCTCATCCTTTTCCGGTTAGGGGTGTGCGTGTAGGTCGTAACTGCCACATTTTGTCCGGTTGATTTAAATCTTGTTGCCGTGCAGGCGGTTTACTCCATCTTTCTCTGCATAACATAGTGCTCCCATAGTTAAGAAGCAAATTCTGATTTTTGTCCTGAGAGTTTTAAACTCAGTTGCCAGCAGGCTTCTTATTCGTAATCTTCCCTTCGTTAACCAACCGTAGAACAATCCTCGGTGTTGTCCTCCTACAGAAGTTATCGTCTTCATTACTCTGCTCTCTGCCTACCCGGAACAATCGTTCTTTATTGCTACCTTCGTGCGCGACAGATTACGCTATGCATATCTCTTTTCGTATATTATGCATACATATATTACAATTACTTAATTTGACAATCGTTTTCTCGACTCTTAATAAGTAAATCAAATTAAATAACTAAACTGGCCAGTACAGGGCCCTAGCGCATCGTGCCCATCCTCTGAGCTGAGACAAATCGCGGCAACGAGCGACTGCCTTATGTGTTCCGTTATATTGGGGCTCATCCAACTGAAATAGGTTGCACAGACGATGGGGAGCGTTACTAAGATTCCTAAAGAAAAACCTATTCGGAAAATCCTATATACTTTGCTCAGACAGATACTTTTATCGCTTGCTATGCTACCTATTGAATAAGTGAGGATTATTATTGCTGATCATATTTGCGGCGGATTTCATTATTATTGGGTTATAACTGTCCATTGTTACGGGGGATATGTTGCGCCCGTATTTGGTAAAATTAATCTACGGATGTGAAATGTTATACAATTTAATATTGCAATTAGATGCATGAAAACGAATGTTTAGGTATGGTTAGCTTTATTAATAAATCATCTAAAATGTTGACTTCATGGGGAATACTCTTATCGTATCCCTTTTATTTTACAAAAACAAAGTCTCATTTAGGAAAATATATTAATGGCCGCTGCGGTCCTTCGGCCATTAGCGAGCTCTAGATTTCCGTTTGGATCGGTCGTAGCATAATTGCAGGCAAACAGGAATTTATGCTCATTATTCTGATAGAATCTGGAGGCAGCACAGCCCACTGCGATATGTTTGCCGTGACCTACATCCTGATAGTTGCTAGCCTTGTACTCGTTCCACCACGAGTGAAGGCACGACTTCACCAACTCGTTGTCCGATCGGGCATTCAAATTTCCCGTATAGCTACTTAGCGCTATGTTCTGTGCGGACCTCTTGTATTTCACAGACGCACATTCATCATGGACCACCTTGCACTGCATAATATTACCTTCCGCTAAGGTGGCCAGATCTGGGTTCCAGCGAAGCGGGATCACCTTCGGAGGTGGACTTCGTCCCGTCAATGCTGAACTACGTAGGTAGTTGTGTAAGGTCAAAATATAATTAACCAAGACTGGATTCATTAAAGGAATAAAGGGCCGCGGAGAAGTTGGGCAGTTGGCGGCCCATTCCTAAAAAAAAATGTATTAGTAAGCTGATTCTATATACTTATTTCATTCAGCCACCTACCCTGGGTAGACAGCTCTGCTTGGGGGCGATCTCTTGGGCGTTGGGAGCGGACTGTTCTCCATTGGGAGGGGTCTGTTGTCCGTAGGGAAGGAGCTGTGCGCCGTTGGGAGGGGTCTGTTGTCCGTAGGGAAGGAACTGTGCGCCGTTGGGAGGGAACTGTTGGCCGTTGGGAGGGAACTGTTGGCCGTTGGGAATGAACTCTCTGCCGTTAGGAGGGAACTGTGGGGTGTAAGGAAGGAACTGTTGTCCGTTGGGGAGGAACACTTGTCCGTTGGGTAGAGACTTTTGACCGTCGGGCTGGAAGCCTACTCCGCCGGCTAGGTATACGTTGGGCAAAAAAGTTTTTGCGCTAACTTTGGATGTCTTGTTATCTTCCTGTCCAAAAACTATCCCCAGCATCACGATAAGTGAGTATAGCGATAAACAAATCATCATGTAGAAGTAACTAAGTAAAATAATATATATAAGATATATGGTAAATATATAATTATTAAAAATGAGAATATTCAGTTGATTTATGTTTTTATGTTAACAGTTGAACTATTTGAACTAGTTTAGTTTGATCCGACTTTAGAACCACCTTTTGACTAAAGCACATGCAAAACTAAATCTTTTGACTATACTTGGGTAAATAGATATATAAAATATGCGAATATAAATGATCTGATATTGAAAAGTTTAGATATTTTCTATGAATGTCACAGCAATACATATTTTCCATATGTGTATATCCCACGAATACATATTGATAAATATAAATTAATTCCTCTTGATAGCTGATCACTAGTGAAATTTGCATAAACTTTTTTGTCTACTCATATACATTCATATTTCATTGGTACAACATGTGGTAGCGTGGCCGAGCGGTCTAAGGCGCTGGTTTAAGGCACCAGTCTCCTCGGAGGCGTGGGTTCGAATCCCACCGCTGCCAGGCGATGGAATTTTTTATTTGTTTTTAGTAAAATGTACGCAAATAGGAAAATCTTTTTTCTTTCAACATTGTAGACAGTTGCAACTGTATTTTAGCACATTTGTCAATGTTGGCCAGCTGTTTGTCAACACGAGTATGTAAAATACGCAAACGCTTTTCTATGCAATTTGTTTTATACGCAGCAGCAGCAGCAGCAGCATCAACAGCCAGCGACATGTTGGCACTCATCTGCATAATTTAATTACATTTAACAATAACAAAGCTTGCACACACACGCACACTCACGCACACATTCACGCGGTGCGTGCAGCGCTTTGCACAAATAAGTACGAGAGCAGGGAGTAATTCCTCCTTTCATGTTTCCCTTTCCCTGGCACTCTCATTCTCACACTGTCCCTTTCTCTGTCTCTCTTCTTGCAGTTGCCGTATTACTTGTCAAGCAGCACAACAACAACAACAAAAATCTCAAGTGTAGAACGCGAGCGATGCTGGCATAAACAGTTACACATTTCCATGACACGCCTCCTGCGCCCGACTTGTCCCATAGGTGTTGCTGCAGCTCCTGCTGCTGCTGCTGCTGTTGTTGTTGCTGTAGTTGTTTGTGCATATGCGACATTAGCGCACGCAAACAACGTACACACAATTAGAAGAATTAACAGTAGTTAAGGCAGCAACAACAACAACAACAACGACAAATTGCTGCCAACTTGTGGGAAGAGGTGCGGCGGGCGGCGAATAGCTGCACCGGAGTGCTGCAGGCTGTTATTGTTGTTATTGTTGTTCTTTCCCCAATGCTTGTAATTTAGTTTTCTGCCAGGAAGGGGGGAGAAGAGCGCGTTGCACTTTTCGTACTTCACATAGTTTCGACTACTACAACGGCCTGTCGTCTGCCAGGACACACTTGTGTGTGGCGCACGGGATGTCGCCTGGTTTTGCTTAGGTGAGGCATGGTCATGGGCAGGGGGGTTATTCTGCGGCAACTTATTGGCCACAACATGCCAACTTATTAGGCAAAAGCGCAAAAGTTATAAATTGTTTTACGAGGCGCACATTGTTGCGGGTATAAATATGAGCATAACATAAGGCATAGCAAGCCAAAAAGTTAGGCTGCAAGGTCAGACAGAGATGGCAATAGTCGAGAAAAGTTACACCAAAGAAGAGGAACAATTTAGGCTTTAAAACAGGACTTGTCCCTAATTTCCAGCAAATTATCGCTGTCTGATATTGTATTGCGTACAAAAACAAGCTATAAAGTATTTTTTTTCGAATTTATTATGTGGTTTCGGTTAGATTAGGTTCGCGAAACCCTTCTACTGGGGGGAGATAATTAAATCAAAAGGTTGTTTGGAAAAATATTGTTTCTGAATGTTCTGATAACGGAGTGAACACCGTGTTTCTTTTGACAGCTTCTCAGAGAAAGTCTTTAAGGCAATACTTCTCTGTTTTTTTTTTAACTAATTCCAGTCACTTCCTTTGCTTTCAAAGTATCTTAGTCAAGTTTTAATTTAAAAGTTTTTCTTTAAACTTTCAACAAATGTTCGAAAGTTGTTAGCCTGGCTTTTAGTTACGGTATTTGGTTTTCTAGTTGACCACAGCTGACTGACCGGAAATCCGCACAACACGCGCCACAAGCCAAAAATGGGCGACGTCCCGAGTCCGCAGGATCTATTGTGTAATATCCGTTGACTATTATTCTAATTTGTGCCGAAAATTAAAAAGTTGCCTATGAGCAACTGCCCAAAGCCATCCGCTCCCCCCCCCCCCCCCCCCCTCACACCGTCTTTCTCTCTCACTCTGCTGCGGTCTCTTTTCTGGTGGCTTTTTGTGTGTGCTCAGCAAAATTTCATGCAAAATAGAACCCAAAAACAAAAAACCAAAAAAGAAAAACAACGGTACGCCTTTTTCAATAGGGACACCAACGGTTGGGATCCTTTGCTGTTTTTGTATTCAAAATAAAGCGACCGCATCAACAAAAATACCAAAGCAGCAGAAAATACTCATAATATGCACACTATACGAAATAAATAGAAATATGAAAAAAGAGCATAAAAAAATTAACATATAAATTAGCACAGCAGACAAAAAGACTGAGCGAAACGAAGGGATGGGGCAGGCTTTTGTTTTGAAAAACAATTTCTGTTGCATAAATTTGGCAATTAAAAATATTTTTCGTGCTCCACTGTTATTTCCCCCCAGTCGACCGCATTTCGTTGGCTGTTCCAGAAAAACTTTCATTAAATGTGCCTGCAAATGTTGCCCAACACTATGTTTGGGTGGTGTTGAAGAAGCAGAGCATTGTTTCCTTTTAAATTGCTAGCCCATTCTTCGAGCTGCCTGCACCCTAGCCTAACAAGAGCTCGTCAGCTGGCATCTTCGCATCATTTACAAGTCGTCTCACATTTCCTCCTCCTCCACACACACACGCACATACATATGCAAACTGCTGACACCTTTGAAAAATTTTCACGCTAATAAAATACAAAACATGCCAGTCAGAACTGAGGGAGATAGCGCGAAAAGCGTGACCCAGCCACACACAGAGTGGGAGCGAGATAAAGGCGATAAAGTCAAAGCATAAAGCTTCAACGTTGACAATTCTCGGCTGCGGCACTGGGTCAGGGGACTGGGCAGCGAGGGCAGGAGCAAAAGCCAGCAAAAGCCACAGAGCAGAGGAGTAGCACTCCAAGCTGAATTTTTGTATTTTTCGCCTCATTTTTGTCAGCACAGAAAACAGAGAAGAATGAACAGAACAGAATCGTACTGAAGAGAGCGGAAGAGAGCAGAAGAGAACGATACAAAAATTTGTTTTAATGCCGCGCACTTTTATGCTTTTCTTTACAACATCTTTTCAGTTTTTCTTTGCCCTTTATTGTGTTACATTTGTGCAGCGACAGCAGTAAAAACGCTTCCTTTCCCCGCTCTCCGCTCCCCACTCCCCATTCACCATTCCCATTCCCCTTAAGCGAACCGCAACTTGTGCAACATCATAAACCCATTTGCGTTTTTAATTAGTAACAGCGCGTTGCCAGAATGCCAGGACATTGGTCAGGGATATGCGTGTGGAGCGGCGCCGCGGGTGGCGGGGCTTTCACAATCTAGATGTCACACAGTCGCAGTCGCAGTCTCAGTCCTATTTCCAGTTACTTTGTGTGTGCAAAAAAATAAATGACCATGCAAAATTTGTGCTGGGGCGACAAGACTGTAGCGCAGCGAATGGCAACTGATAGGAATTGAGCGGGGAAGGCAGCGGGCAGCGGGCAGCGGAGCTGCGGACGACGCGGAGAACACTCGAAAAGTGGAACAAATAAGGTAAAAATTTTTAATTGCCGCAGCAAAAGAGAAGCAAACGCAGAAAAATTGTTGCAGCAAAAATTATTATTAAGTTGCGGTTTTTGTGGTCAGTCGGGTATGCGAGCAGAGCTGCTCACTCAGTCAGTCAGTCCTTCAGTCAGTCACTCAGTCACTCAGTCAGTCAGTCACTCGCACAGTCACTCAGCTGGAGTTCACGAAACTAACCGGCGGGAGAGTTGGTGCAACCTGCGCTGCAATGGCAACAAAGTTGAATAGTTAAAAGCGCAACTTTTTTTCATTCAACTGAAACATTTTTTGAATTGATGGTCAGCAATTTGGGGCAACAACCGCTGCCGGCAGCCGGCAGCCGGATAGCCAAAAAGATGTGCTCATATAAAGTAGTAACTGATGATGTTATCAGACCAAGTGCAGCCTGTCAATGAAATGGTATTCGCTTGTTTCCTTGATCGTTTTATTGGAGTAATCAAAACGAGCTAAGAATTGGGATTTACGGAACTCAATCTCACATTACTCTGATATATAAGTAGGAGTGCTCTGGTCGGGACTATAAGATAAATACACAGGAAAAGTCAGTTTATGCTGTGTCTGTGTTTCTTCAGCCTTTTCCCCATACTTTTGCGCTTAGCTCGGTATATATTGTCCGATTTTGATTATTAATTTTATTGGGCATAAATATTGAATTCCAAATGTATAAAGGGAAGGTATCCGAAAAGTAAATATTTTGGTTCTATGTATACAATACGAAAGGCTATCTAGCCCTTTTAAGCCCCGATATATAATCAAACGAATTCCTCAAAACATTTGATACTAACTCCGACTGGATATCAGAAGACACTACGTTCAAAACTTGAAGTCTTTAGCTCTCATAGTATTCGAGATCGCAGCGAATGCGTCCGAATTTACGTATGGGTAGACGGACGGAAAGACAGACTTTTGATACTGATCAGGAATGTATAGGTTCGGAGATGCTTCCTACTGCCTGTTACATACATTTGCACAAAACCAATTAACCCTTTGTACCGATTTTTTAAGAAAGAAAGGGTTGCCTTTAATTAATTCTAGAGTTGAGTCTTACCTATTGATTTCCTGTTTATAACTATATATTCAGACCACAGCCACAGCACAATAAAAACTTATGCAGTTCCACGCAAGCGGTCCGTCTTATAAAATATTGAAACTCCATAGCTAATCGAATATTTCACCCTTTAATTACGTGTATTTAATGCACTTATATCCAGCAAATTGGTTTCACCTACGTAATATTCTTTTCTAATTTAATTCATAGGTACATGCACTCCTGTATATCCAAGCACTATACTTTCACATTATAAAAATCATATTCCTAAACTAATCAGTTTCGGTTATATTTTAAAGACAACAGGAAAGGTTGACAATGTACATTTGTATAATCTCTATATGTATTTATGTTTCGGCTTTGTTTCTTCGTTCTTTATTAATTTATGTCTTCCAAATGACCAAGATTCAGGCGCATATTTTATTTCGTTTTTCATTCAATAATCTAGATATACATAACTGTTTGTCCAAACTGACTGGCGATACAGTTTACTACACTGCTATTGGATGTGTGTATGCAAACGTGTATGTATGTGGGTGTGTGTGTTACCAAATGCATACCTACACACAATGCAACCGCTTTGATTTAAATAAAAATATGATTTTTAAATATTGTCCTCCTCTGCGATTCTCATACATTCAAGTAAGGTGTACAGGCTTATGATTTATTTATAAGTAATTTGTGATCAAGTTGTAGGCGCAATCTAAATAACGTTTGCAGTTTGTCGCTCTCCCTCTTCCTCTCTCTCTCTCTCTTTCTCTGTCAAAATCTCTTATGTTATCTGTCTTTCTTTTTTCTGCTCTTAAACTAATCCACTGTCTTCTTCTTTTCAGTGATGTTTTTAATTAAATTTCCTTCTTTAATAATAAATTACAATATAAAATTCCTGCGTGATGATTTGAGCTTTTGGGTAAGTACATATTTACACATACATATATACATATTTTTAAATATATATCTCTTAATATTAAAACATAATTCCCTTTAAATTTGTCTGCAAATATTTTAAAGTAAATATTTGGGATTTAAAGACTAACCAAATGAATAGCATTGTTTTTTTTTATAAAAGTTTTGATATTGTTGAATTGAAATTGAAATCGATATTTTAGTGAACAAAATCTAAAGTAAAATTGGCATGATTTATGAGCGTGCTTGTCAATTGAAAAATTGATTTTTCGGCAAAGGTTTGATATAAATAATTGCATTTAATTTGCGAAAATTCTAAAAATTGTATATAAGAACACAAGCTGAAGTTATATTAATACTATTCCACTCGTAACCTAATCGATTAGCTACGGTCGATTTCATAATTTTATAAACAAATTGAATCGCGTAGCCCTCGCAGGGCTCAATTGCCTTTGCTTTGGTTCTTTGTTGTTTGTTGCTGTAGCCTTTTGGCCATGTATTGAAAAGTAAATAATGCAATTTGCTACGCAAAAATCGCAGCCATGGAGAGTGCGGAGCTCGGTCTGAGGGAGAGCTCGGGGCATTGTTATGGTTGTCTTTGTCTGGGCTGCTGCAGTCAAGCAATTATGTAATTTTTAATAGTCGTCGACGTCGGGGCAAAGCGTTACGCAATTTATGAGGAGGGACCTGCACGGGGCGAGGAATGCTTGTAAAAGTCAAAGCATAATTTATTATTGTCAGTCGGAGCAGAAGAAAAGTGACGAACAAGGGCAAAGCCACCCTCAGAATAAAATGATGAAAAACGATTAAAATGCGTCAAAATGTAATAAAAGCAGCTGCAACTGGAGGCCAACAGAGGGCGCATGTGTGCGTGTCTATCTGTGTGTGTGTGTGTAGGTGGAGCAAGGAACAGGACACAGGACACAGAGCACCGACCCGTCGACCCATGCACCCCACGAACCATCCTCGACTGGAAACTGCAAGCGAGTGACTTACTTGACGTCGCTGCTGATGTGACACGTGCAACGCTTCACGGATTTCGCAGCGCACTCACGTCCCGGACTCTGTAGTCGACTCTGGACTCCATCCCCGGCTCAGTCGCGATTCCGGGTATTCCGGCATGTGTTAATTGTGATGCTGTTCTGCAGGCTGCTGTCAATTGGCCCTTGGCGAACACAGCAGCACGAAGAGAAAGGAGCTCCTCTCACTCACTCTCCCCCCGCGCCGATCTACTCGTACGTGCAACGCCCCCGCACGGTACGGAGCGTAGTACTCGAATAATATATGGCTTGTATATTGCGCCAACAGATGGGACTGGGACTAGGACTGGGGCTGGGACTGGGTATGGAGCTGGCGCTGCCACTGGGACGGCTGGTTACCGGCACGGACACATAAACTAGCGGAACTCCGGGCCGGCGCTCGGAACTGGGGAAAGTATTTGCGATTGCCGGGCAAAGCGTTTAGTGCTCCACATTGGTCATGTCCATAAAGTTCTGAGTTTAATAGCTGCCAAATAAAAAGCGTTGAAGCGTTTGGCAAGAAATTTTATACATATACATACTGATTTTTTTACGATTGCAGGTTTTAATGATTTCCATTTCAAAATTGCAGCAAGCGTGAAAAAAACCCCCCTGGTGCAAAGGGATGATGATTTTCTTATGATTTTTACGGTTTTCTTTAAATTCCATAAATTCGTGCATTGGCAAAGTAAAAAGTAATGAAAATTATGTAATTTTAGAGATTCGTGTAAATAATAATAATAATATTTATATTACACTATTTTAATAATCGTCAAATTGTTATTATTATGTTGTTTTTAACTTTATTATTATTTTTATTTTTATTGTTATTATTATTATTTTTAATTAGGATTTTTGTTATTTAATACAATTTTTTGATATTTTGTATTAGTATTATTATTATAATCATTCAATACTTTTTATTATATTAATTACTTTTATTATCATTAACATGCATACCATTATTATTATTATTACTTCCTATTTAATCGCGCGGGCAGTATTTATACAGAGCCCGAGGATCCGAACCTTGGACCAACTTTGACAATCGATTGAAAATATGCTATATATAATTAGTAGTTTAATTTAAGTGTTATATACTAGACTAAAAATTTTCATAAATATTTAAATTTTATTAGTATAAAGCATTTACTAAACTCTCTTTGCGTCAGTTGTCAGCGTTTTGATTGTTTTCGTTTCGTTAAACTTTTTGAATTAATCAAAACTTATTCATATCTTCTTTGGCGCTTCACGCTGCTTCAGTTGAAAGGGAAAATTAAACAATTTCGTAGAAGTTCTCTATTCTCGCTTGCTTTAGTTTTCTGGATAAATAATCAATTGCGTCGCTTTGATTTAAACTTCGATGCGTTCAACAATGCCCTTGACTTTTCTTTGCAACGGCACAAAAGCCCATTTAAAGTTTTATTTGTGTTTACATCCACATAACTCAAGCCGAAATATAAAAAATGTGGAGAAAATCGAAAAAAGGGAACCCCATATAACAATATCAAGAACTATAAGAACAAAAACAACAACAACAACGATAACTTTTTGTATACAATCGAATGCCAAACAGACGCACTCCCTTGAGAAGTTGCCCCGTTGATGCCAAATGGACGCTGGGAACTGGAACCACACAAAGTAATTGATTGTTTATAGCAATACAATTTATGTGGCACAATTTGATGTGTGTACGTAACGGTCTCTGGCTGCTTGGTGGGGCAGGGGGAGGTCTGTTACAAAATATTGACCATTTGCTAAACGATAATTCAAAATGTTAAATCGACAATTTCAATTTGAAGCGAACAACTCGCCGACTCCCTGGGGCTGACTACACGTACATACATATAGAATCAATGTGTATATATATATATATGTATTTATATACATACACACACATGTGTCTGTCTAGTAAATATAAACATAAACTCTTCACTTAACAAAGGCGCGTAGATGTGCCCCACACTCGGTCCGCCATGCTCAAGAGTTTTAAAAAATCAATCGAACGTGTAATAAAATGCATTTTGCAGTGCTTCCTTTGTCACTTACCGCACTCCTGGTCCCTGAATTTCATTAAAAAAACGAGAAACTGAGAATTTCGTCGGCACGCCGAAGATTTTATACCCTTGAAGACATTTGCCTTTTGCAGATATGTGAGAATTGTCCAGCTCGTAAATACTGGATTTGATGAAAATAAACAGAATATTTTCCCAAACCAGTACCCACTTTTCGAACGAAAATTCCTTTGATATAGTGGTCCGATGATGATAAGATTTTGCATATTTATAAGAAGCATGGAGAAACTTATAAGCCTCGCGTTCGGTCGAGATATAATAATAATAATAATAATACATGTGTACTGCCTGCAAACTTTCAAGACAATAGCTTTAAAACTGAGAGAATAATTCGCATACAAACAGGCAGACGGACGGATGGACATGGCTATATCAATTCGGCGGCTGATCTTGTATATATAAACTTTATAGGGCCGAAGATGTCTCCTTCTTTACACATTGTATTACAAAACTATAATACCCTCTAACAGGGTATTAAAACACACACACACACAGATGTGTAGACTTAGCCGGCACCCAATCAGTCCCCGCCTAGTCCCAGACTGAGACCCCGTCTGCCTATTGGGGGCTTGCATTTACCCTTTTGCACTTTGGGGTTCAATTGCTGTATAAATGTTGGCCAGTAGTCGTTGTAGTCGTTGGGGTCGTGGCTTGTAAAATAAAAAAAAAACTCAGCACAGTTGCGAGCATTAAAAAAATAGACTCCACGTAATGGTCATTGTTGTTTTTGTTGTGTATTTTTACAAGCAATTTAAACAATCTGTTTGCTGCGGGTTTTAGCTTAACATGCATGTAAACACGGCGCAGGGATTTTAAAGCTCAAAGCTGTTGTGATTTTAAATTTATGCAAAGCATAAATAAAATATTTAAATTATGCATTTTTTGCTGATATTTAAATTATTCATTTTTTGCTGATAGCAATTTATCAATAACATTGCATGTAATATCCAAATTTATGGTAAATTTGATAAATAAAATTAAAATAAAATAATGTTAGTTTTGAATACAAATATGTTTGCGATTTGCCTTTGGCAAAAATAAATAATTAACTTAAAAAACACATTTTAATATT